TGGCGAGTGCGACAGTGACTGGAATTGAGCTAGGCCCGATCGGGAGGGTGCCGAGGTATGAAGTTATCTCTGTACACGGGAGTACATCGCCTAGGCTAGTCGGTCTTTCGAATAATCGCGAACTCGTTCGGGCGCGTCGCGATTTTCTATTTGCTCGCGTGTTTGATATTTCATTCCCTAATTTTATGGGAACTTGAAAATATCTTAGCGTTGCGACAGTAGAGTTTCAGTATACCGAACCGAAACCCCTTTTGTAAGACACGAAATATAATAAAGTGTCGGTAGAGTCATTTTAACTTAATTCGCTCCAAGTTAGATTAGGCTACCTTTGACACGGATAACGCCAGTAGGATGCGCCACTAGGGCGCATGTCGGGTCTCGATGCGTAGCCACCTCCGCGTGGTGAGACCTGGTAATTGGTATCGTTTTCCAAAGAAAAATCTTTGGGAAACGATACCAAGCTAAGAGCTACGCACAGAGTTTAAGATATGCCCTATCTCTTGTAAATTTTCAATGTTTCCTTCGAACTTAGAAAATAAAGAGTGGGCAATGTCTGTTCAAGTAATGTATAACTGAAGACGAAGTAAGGTAAGTAAGGTATGTAAGGTAAGTAAGGTAAGTAAGGTAAGTTAAACTTGTAGAGAAAGTTGAGAAAAAGAAGTAAAAGTTTGGAGAGATCAAGGATCGATAGTTTGTTTTCGAGGTTGGCAAATATTTTTCGTAGGCGGTGGCCATTTTTGGTCACCTGGTTTACCCCGATCCATAATTCCAGCCAGCTCGATTGATCGAAGCAAATAATCTTTTCGAAGCACCAAACACGGAAGGACGTGGAAACGATACCTTGATCAATATCGGCAGTAGGCGTACGCGTGGCGAGACGACGAAGTCTTCTTGGAGAGTTGCAAGATGTTCCAGATGACTGCTTGCAACTCGACCAGCTTGATGTACCTGGTGATAACTTTCGAACTGCTAGATCGCACAGCATGTCTACGGCTTCTTGTCTGCAAGTTTCAAAATATACGTGGATCGTGAAATAGCCATTAACCCTTAATGAAGACTCCATTTGGGATAGGGGTCTAAATTTTGAATGAAGTATACTTCATTCAAGGAGAACTGGCAGGAAATATAAACAACTATTAACATTATGGGAAAGTATAAACAACTATTAACATTATTATACTATGGGGATCACAATTGGATGTACGTTCGAGAAAAGAAGGCACAGTGTATTTACATACTCATTGCTGATGGATGTTAACGCTACTGACACTTCCTTGATCACAGGCAGTGATTGCTACTGACCGAAAACTGACCACTAATCTTACAAGGAAAGTGCATGTCCTCCGGGTCATTGATTTAGTTGAAACTTTGCAGCTTTGTAGACATCGTCATGCAGTTTAAGAAAATATATTATTATAGCCACAACTACTCAATAGTTTTTAAGATATTTGCGATTAAAGTTTTATTCCTTCTTGAATTATGCATTTATTTCCAATACGTTCTAAGTTAAGTTGTAGCGTAACGGCGACGATCGAGAATTGTTGTACTGAAGGACCGGGGTTCGATTCCCGTCACCATAGTTTTGATATAGTATTTTCAATGAATTTTTTATTTCCTATTCATTTTTCGCCTATGAAAACATTGTAAATAAACAATCATAAATAAAACTTCTTAATAAAAAAATTTATTTTTTATGCTTTCTTATGCTTGTATATGTTTATTGCAAAATAATAAGAATATTACCCAAGAAAAACACTTTTCTATAGCAATCTTATTTACTACAGGAAATACTAAACCTATCGCTCACGTAAGTATTAATTATTAAATTAAACATCCTATAAAAATGTTGCCTATAATTCGAATTTTACTGTGCAGCTATAAATGTTCACGAATTAATTAGAAAAACTTGGCAATTTATTAATTTTCTACCGTCGAATTGATTTCTAGTATCTAGTTCGAATACAAATTTTACCGCCTGCGATCAGCGCCATCTATGATTTGGGCTCAAAAATCAAGAAAGTGATAGGAATATAGAATAGACAAGGAGGTCGACGGAGGGCTGGTCACGTGGTAGACAAGGACAGAGAGGGGATAGAAAAGGATAGAATGGCCCCGGCAGTGAAAAATTATTAATTACTCAATTTTCGTAAACAATTTGTGAACTTTTATAATTTCACTGCAAAGATGGAACTTCAGGCTATATTCCTATATAACTTTCGTAAAGAATTTAGCTCTAAACTGTAAGTTATTAATTTTTGTTTTATGGCGTCTATGATTTCGTAACGGCGACCATCACGACCTTCCGTGAAAATATTTATTACTAAACGAAACTAGAAGCAAAATGTGATCAAAAGTTATATGAGAAGATTCGCAAGGACATTGTCTTTCTAACGAGT